CTCATAGAAATATTCGAATTGGTAACGTTAAACTCAAAGGTGAGGGAGCATCCTGAAGTATTAACCATTCCTGCCGGCAACATATCAGGTAAGAAATATGGAATTAAGCTCAATAAATTCAAGTTAATACAAACTCCTCAGCATTTTAAATAATGTCCAGATCTAAAAACGTTGGAGAAACCCAACAGTTCCCGCAATGAGCAAGCACTTAAACGACTGAGAGAAAAACTCTTTAACAGGAAGACAGGTCTAGAACCGGACCATGTGGGCGGACATGTGCCTCGACTGGTTGGGCTGAGTGGAGAAAAATGGGCGAGAGAGGAGGGGAGGGTGGAAAAAAAGGGGAGAGAAGAGAATGGGGCTGCCAACTCACTGCACTGTCAAATTCAGGCTAATAGCATCAATAAAAGCTTCTCAAACCAACTGGACTGGCACTGTGTAATTAAGCAAATAGCATGTTGACAGCAGCACTTACCTTCTGTGACGTCCCAGGGCACGCCACCAAGAAACACCTTGCAGGAATACATGGGATCCTTGTTGTTCCTGGGAGGCAGCTGACCACTCCAGGTGAATGTGGCCTCATTCACAGCTGAAGAAAAAAAAAAAAAAGAAAAGGTTAAGCCAAAGAGTCACCATATGAAGCTGTGTCTCGATTCAGGAGCTGCATATAGAGATCGACTGCGTCACAGTGTTGTGACGACATGGTCCTTCCATCCATGAGAAGCAAAGGCTCCAACAGGTGGATCCTTCCCACCCAAACTTATCCCAGGATTCATTGCGCTTTAGAAACCAAAACATTTTTCCAAAAGGTTACGAAGCAAAGAGACGTCCAATGCCGGACTGTAATTTTGGTTCTGCCTATGCAGTCTACACAAGAGGTGGCCTTCGTGGGCCTGGTAGACCACATCTTCCAAAAGATGCCCCTGAGTTGAGACAACTTAAACTTGAAACTGAGCTACAAGAAAGCAAAGGGTAGGTGCAGTGATAAATTGGTATTTTGATTCACCTGCAGCCTGCCTGTGCAAGCGGGCCTCCCTCTCAATGCTGAATGCATCATCCGACTGGTCAAGCACATCAGCGCCAGGCCACGGTGATCCAGTGCGCCAGCGGCGGGAAATGGCTGAGGAGGAGGGGCTGGCACTGGAGGTTGGGGTCAGGGGAGAGCTGGAGTCCTGAGGGTCCAGACGAGAGCCCAGTCGCAGGAGATCCTTCTGCATGCTTGATGCAAGATAAGGCAGGGGAGGGGAAATCCGCAGAGTCGACTGTAGAGAAAGAAACGTCCAGACAAGTGACTGTTAAGGGGGAGAGCCAACTTTGAAAATAAATCAAGAACCGAGGTGAAATGTTTGGCCGTCAATCCAAAATGGTGGACAAGTCTGACAATGACAATGTCTGACAATTAGCCTGAATACTGGATTAGTGAAGTGTTTCTTTGAGATAAATTCTCCACCTGCATGAACAAAAACAATCTAACACATCAAACAGGAGTTGCTGAATAAATGTGGCGTTTCTTACCAGCATGTCACAGAGGTGGTCTGAGCCAGAGCTGAATCCACTGGTCTCCGAGTCTTCAGGACTGCTGGAGCGAGAGTCCAGAAAGGAGGTGGAGTCCAGTCGGTTTGCCATGCGAGCCATGCTGGGAAACTTTTCCAGGAAGTCAGCAGTCATGCTCATGGACTCGGGGGGCAGGTAGCCTGGGGGCTTCCCGAGGATGCTACTGAAGGGACTGTTCAGAATACCTAGCACTGTGCAAACAGGACAGTTACACCACTTACAATGTGAATGACAGATCTTATCACATGTGGACAGCTTTAAGTTTGCTTGTTTATATCCGGTATTAAAATGTGTCCTGATTGCATCTCTTGTGGCGACTTGGGATCAGATCTCATTTCCTTGCTCACAAAATAAACATGTTCGTCATTTGCGTTGGCCAACACCTAATTATGTTATTTTCAATCAGTGTGAGTTCAGATGCGTTCAATGTCACAGAGACAGATGGAGAAGAGAGAGACAGACACAGAAAGAGAGATGGAGAAGAAGAGAGAGACAGACACAGAAAGAGACAAAGACAGCGACAGACAGAAGGAGACAAAGACACAGAGAGACAGACAGAAGGAGACAGAGACATTTTTGTAAAATATATGTTGTCAGAGTTGATATTGTGGCAGAGATCAATCAAATCAATGTATAGACAGTAAAGTGTAAAAAATATGTTTGATTAATGTGAAACTAGTGGGTCCGAGGACATCAGCCGAGTAAGGCGGTACATCATGTGGTCCAAGACACATTAGCAGTCACACAGCAAAGACTGTGACCACCTGTGTGTGTTCAGACCTGAAATGATCCCAGACCACTTGAGATCAGATCCCTCAGGATGATGTAGAAAAGAAAGCAAAAGTTTATTCCGTCAAAGATACATTTACTGAAGTACTGAAGAAAATGCGATGTGTGCTGAGTCTGCAGAGTTTTATCGATTGGCGAGGAGGCAAGCTGCGCTGCAAATACAAGTGTCTGAAAAATCATACTTCTCTTTGCCCTCAAAGGGAAACTGGATGAATAAAGAAACTTGAGCTCGTGTACAAGACTTTATGTGCCAGCTGACCAACAACGGCAACCAGAGAGTTGAAGCATATTCACTTTCGATATAAGGAACAATACTGGAGACCAATTCATCATACACCTTTCCCAAAACATAGCCCAGAGACCGCTGAGTATCAACCAGCGTCTTCCTTCTTGGTAACCGAGTGAGACAGCTAGGCAACTGTGACAGATATGTACTGCGTGGCCTGTAGCGGTGAACATGAGGCTCGGAGGGATTATTCAGCTGTAGGCTGCATTCAAAGCTCTGTCCTAGTTTGTTGCGGGCCCAGTTTAGAAAGCTCTAAATGAAGTTATGCCGGGTCAGTTTGGACATGCAGCGATAAAACTATGGCTCTGCAAATGGGTCAGGACTAAAGGGACATAGTTGTTAAGACATTAAAACTCATCTTAAAACTATGGACAGCACATATATCGGCATGTTAGTTCTCATATTATTCCAGTATGTGTATGTTTACCATTTTTCTAACCAAACCTACAAACTTGGCATTAAAAGAAACATTAACATCTTCATCAATAGCTATATAGTAAAAAAAATTTTTTTAGAAGAAGCAGAGGCTGATTCAGGTTTAGGGGAAAGAAAAGTAGCCTCACTGTGTTTGTGTGTGTGCCGGATTACTGGAGATGCAGCAAAGCAAAACTGCCACATCATCCTCCCTAGCGACGCTACAGCCTGTTCCCACACAGACACACCGCTGTTAACCACTACATTTTTCTATGCAAACAAGAGCTACACAAAGCAAGGCACAACCACAGATGTTGCATTTCCCACCGTCATGTTCAAATCAATGGAGTCACGAGAGCGAAAACAAACTCTACCAACCTGACTCTGGGACACAATCTGATAAAAACACTGAAGACTAAGTCACAGATTTTAATCTGAATCCAAAATACATTCAGGTGAACAAAGGCCTGGTACTTACTGGAGGGTGAGCTAGTCTGAACCTGGGAAGGGGAGGCGTGTGAGTCTGTCTCCTGGCTGCTCCAGGGTCTGTCCCAGCCGGACAGACGGAGAGACTGGAGGCCCAGGCCCAGGTCTGTGACACCCGGTGAGCCCCTGGATGACAGCATCTCCTGGGAACCAGGCACACAACCACAGTTGGGGAAGAGCATCCTCCTGCTGCCCAATGCAGCCAGCTCCGACTCCTTTTGGTCTGAGATCCAGTTCAGAGATGCAGCAACAAGAGAGAGGAAAGAGGAAGTGTTAGAAAAGAACTGTTTCAGTCTGTGCTACATGGAAAACAGCAGGGAGAGGCTTGTTACACAAAACAGTTTAAAAATAAACTTTCATCACCACATCTCCCCCTACCCTGGCTGACGGGGGAGCTAACCTGCTGCTTCTGTGCCCGGTGCAACTGCCATGCATCTCCGTCCGCATCACTGACCCACCTAGCAGCATGTGACATGGCTGCTGATGCACTCGCACACCCCTGCTAATGACATCAGCTTTCCCCCACCTCCCGGCTTCCTTGCCTAACAACTGTGTAATGAAAAATTCCTGTCAGAGCTATTGGCTTGTTGATAGAAGTACTCCCCTCTCTGGTAGGCACGGCACGTCTCTGAGTCGGTGGGAAGGCAGCCACCGCTGCTGCCGCCGCTGCTGCTGCTGCTTACTCTGTGTCTCGCCTTGTTTCCTGAGCGAGCTGAGAGAGGTAGGGAGGGAGGTGAGGGGCAGAGCTACAGCGGCAGGGTGGGAGGCAGCATGGGAGATGTGAGCAATGACTCAGCAGACTTGAAATAAAAGTGCTTCAGAATTGAGGATGCTCGGATAATTTAATTTTAAAATCACTGTTGGTGAATTCCTGTGATGTTTTTTTCCCCCCAGCACAGACACAGAGGAATCAGGCATGCGGAGCCTCACTGTGACACAAGCAGCTGACTGATCAGATGTTGAGGACGGAGAGATTTGCACCGCCAGCTCCTCCCTGCCCTCTCCAGGCCTGGAACGCTTCCAGCAACAGCACTGATTCAGCAAACACCAGGCAGGGGTGGACGAGGCAGAGAGGCCACAGCAGAAAGTTCAGCTCAAGATCCAATTTAGTTTGGTGTCCCTTAAAAGTTGCATAAGATTTGTGTTGTGCTGCTGCTCATGTACGAGTAAGCAGCGCATTATAATATAACCCCACACACCATCCCAAATTAATTGTGCCCTAAGCAAATTGAATATTCAGGGAAAGGACGCAGGCAGGCTGCTGAGCTTTAATCTTGGCAAATCTCACTCCCGGGGTAAAAAAAGACGAAGAATTGCTGCAATGCTGCAGAAGGCGATGCACCATGAATCAGCTGCTGGCACTGGAATCATTGTGACAACGTGAAGGAGCTTTAACAGATGGCAATTCTGCCCGAGAAAAGAAAAGGGCTCTTTCTTTGTTGGGGATGAAACTTCTCAACTAAAAAGAAATCCACCCTGGTAAGAAGAACTCTTCTTCTGGGACCTTCTTATGATTTTCTGGTCTAAATGTGCAGAAATAACAAAAATTAAGAAAGGTGGAGTCTCAAAATGTCTTATTTAGTTTGACCACGGAAAATTAAATGTCAATCCATCTTAATTTACCAAATATTGATGTCTAGAAAACTTCAAATTAAACCAAAGGCAAGAATTAAAATAATATTTCTTTGTTTCTTTGAAATATCACTAAAACTTATCTCATATCAAAATATACAGGCTATTTTTCTGTAAATTAACAATTATTAAGTTACAGAGACATCCGAGTCGATTGTGGAAATTTTAAGACGCAAGGACACTAAGAAGATTTAGATTCAAATCCAAATTAAACTTGAGCGTGTTTTTCAAAGTTATTAAGCTGGGACATTTTACCACTTTATTTGTAAGTTCAGGTGCATCACCACCATCTACTGTGCTTGAGAGGGAACGAGTTAATTTTCTTAAAACCTACTGATCCAATTTCTCCGAAGAAAAACCAATTACAACTCCATGTACAGGTTTAATGCTGAAGTCTTCCTGCTTCCTCTTTGGTGAAGCTAAATTTTGACACTGACGACACACAAAGCAGTGACTCATCTGTTTGACGATGACCACACAGACTAGGTGGGATGTTTACCCATTAGATGTAATGTCTTTAGTCCTCTGTGTACCAATCTGTTATTGATCTCCCACTTCCTTCTGAAGCACCTTAGAGTTTTAGTGTTATCTCAGTTGTGTACTTTCTCAGGTGGTTAAGTATTCACCCCTGTCGATTGGTTGTTTGTCAGTAGGATTACGCAAAAAGTACAAAACACACAGGCCGAGAGAGAGAAGCCATTGGATTGGGACGGATCCAGGATTGTTTTGTTTTTTTCCTATCACATATCGAGAACCGTTCATCTAATCGGCTTCACACTTGGCCTGTGTATTCCTATGGGAAGTGCGGTTGTGAATTTTTGTGCGATTTCAATTTGCGATAAACTCTAAATTAATCCAATTTGAATAAACAGGAACCAGCGCTCCGTAGCACTCGAAGATTGAGTCGATTGCTCTGAAAACACAACAGCAGTGAAGTAAATCATTTGAACATGAGTATAGGCCACCTGCGGTAATTAAGCTAATTGTGTTCACTGAAGATAAACCAGGTCGGATGAACACAGGTTTTCTTAACCTCTGAACCAAGGCCTACTTATGAAAGGCTCTGCACACACACACACAGTGATGGTGTATTGTATTGTAGACCTGCTGGAGGTGATATGGATTAATTTTGAGGTAGCTGCGCCACAGTTAAGCTAGCAGCCACAAACACGCAGGTTTCCAGTGGAGGTCTGAATTACGCCTCCCTGTCCTGACCGAGTCCACCTGCGCCCGTGTGAACACGAAGTGGCACTTTACCACACAGCAGGTCTGGCTTTCCCTTGGCGCTGCTGGGTGTGGTGCACACACCGGTGAAATCCAGAGCGTTGCCCAGCATGGTGTTCATCCGGCGGAAGATGTCTGCGTTGCTGCAGGTGGACAGGGCCGGGCACTCCGGGTCCGGGCTTTCCGGCCTGCGGGGGTCGTTCCTCTGCGGGCGGGAGGAGAAGAAAGCAAGAAGTTAGCCCGAAACAAGTGAACCCCTCTCCAAGGACACGTGCAGCGCACAGGGAAGGTGGTTCTGACTCGGCTACGTGACAGACGCTGTGTTCGGGGAACTAAAGGTCAAATGTGAACGTGGTTCGGCTCCAGAAACACCTGAATTGACTCGTTTGTTGGAACAGCCGTGGACTCACCAGGGAAAACGCCATGTTGTGGACTGAGAGCCGGTGAGAAGTGTCACGATGTGGACGAGAGGCTGCGGCTCGGGCTCATGTTTATCACATCCGCTGATTGGCCTCCATCTAATGAACGTGTGCGCAGCGAATGGCTGAGCCTCGCGGCCTCCGTCTGCTCACGTGTTCCACATCAAAGGGCCGCCAAGCAAAGTCAGCCTCACGTGACCAGAGGTTTAAAAAAGCAATTTAGAATAAAGTCCTGGATTCATCTAACTTTATTTACACTCCCACCACAGTTACAAAGTACAACAGCAAGAAAGAAATACAATTAAAATAATATGAACTA